CAGCACAGGTACAGATTGATGAGGAGCAGGGGTGGGAGCCAGGAGGGCTGGCTGGAAGGGCACATCTAGAGAACAAGGAAAACAGATCCACAGGAAACCAGATTTCATTATTTCTGCTTCTCTGAAAAGCACCCCATTTGTACAATTTAGCTGTGGTTACAGCATGAGCTTGTCTAATTTGCTTCTAGACTGAGCAGCAATAAAGAGACCTTGTTAGGAGGGTGGATTTTTCTTCTCCCCAGCTTAGCCTGAAAATCCTCTAAAGAAATACCTATTTCATATAAAATTGATTTGTTCAAAGCAGCATGCCTTGCTTCCAAACTAATGAGAGAAGTACTTTGGAACAAACACTACAGCTTTGGGTAGTGCCTATTTGGAAGTCAGTAAAGGTCAGAACACTGAATGTGCACAAGCTTGTTTCCAAGCTCATTTAGCAGCTTCCCACGTGTCAGATTTTTTTGGAGATGTATCCTTTAGTATCTGTATGGAGAGCTTTTTTTTCCCTCAGTTGAGTAATACCAGCGGCTTGAACTCTGCAGCTCATAAAACTAAATAGTCTTAGTAACTTTAAAGGAGAAGATAGAGTTGCTAGATCTGACCATAACCCCTTAAAGTCACTGTACCCTCTTCAACACAAGAGAACACCAGCTACTTCAGAGGACTTTCCACGGAATCTCTCCAGCTATGTGATGTCTACAAGACAGAGGCATTCTCTGTTCCTTCACTTGCCTCTTCCACCACAGCAAGGGTGCAAACTACAAGACAAAGTGTAGCTTAATTTGGATCACGTAGCATTTAAACAGTTCAGAGAAAAAAGATCTCTTGCCTTTCTGCTACAGAACAAGTGGATTCAGTAACCACACGCACACATTGCAATGACAAGTGGTTGTTCCCTTTGTGGTGATGAGTTGTGCCAGCAACTCCAGCCCTTTGCATTTAGGCACTTCAACCCAATCCAAAGTGACTACTTCAGGCAACACAGGACAAAATAAGGAGTGAAGTTTAAGAAGAGGAGGGAACAGCTCACTTATTTTGTTATTCCAAGCATCATACGTTTAACCCTGGAGTTAATGCTAGGGGCTACACAGGCCCTTAGCAGAATATTAAAACTATCTTCCCTATTTTCTTCACACCACCCTTTACATCACAGGACAGCCCACATCAGCAACAGCTAAACCAGCACACCCTGAATACGGAACATGAGTTTTTTTTTTGCTTTCAAATGTACTAGAGCAAGATTCACCTGAGTGAAAAACCTTAAGTCATTATACACATATTTGCAAGTTCATCGATCCCTCAGGCAGGGAAACACGGTGCTGTCACGCAGAAACCACCATACCTCTGTCACTGAAGTCATCCACCAGCACTATCTCTGCTATCAGCTCAGGAGGGGAGCGGTTGAGGACACTGTGCACTGTCCGGAGCAGAGAGGACCATCCTTCGTTGTGGAACGGAATTATCACACTCGTGTTCGGAAGCTTCTCCAGATACAGCTTATTTTTGCAGCTGGACACAGACAGAGCAAGTCAAAAGGAGCTGCTGAAAAACACCAGCACTTCCATACTAATTACCATCAAGTAACTTAGTTCATTCTTTACTCCCCAAATTGATGCGAAGTACCTGAAAAAAATCCAGTGACTTTCAGGACTTATCAACCCAGTGTTGACCTGATCTAGTCTACCTGGCCAAAGCCAGACCCAGAAATTCCATGAGAAGTGGAGACTGTTAATGGTCAATGACCCTTAGCAACACACAAAGTCAGGGGGATCAGTTCTGCAGGCAGAAGCGAAGGCAGGTGGGCTTTGAACACAAATCACCAGAGGACCTGGATAAAGCTGGAGAGTTAGGTCTGCAGAGACATGGAGAATTTGGGGAATTTCCCCACAGAATTAATCTTAATTTTGAAATAAGGCTAATGCTGTCTTTCCTTGTGAGGTTGTTTTCAAGGCAGTTTCATACAGAAAATTCCAGCTGCAGCATGAAGGGCAGTGTTTATTTCCTGCTCATGGGGCCCTAAGTGGAGTTTGAACCTTATAAAAATAGGTAACATCAAAGGCCGCACAGCGAGCAACTGTAGTTAAAAAAAATACCTGTAGCTCTTCATTATGGCTCAAAAATCTATTCCATTCCTAGAACCTCATGTGTCCAGTGCAAAACAGAGGTGGTCATGTGAATGGATGTGCCTGGAGTGTAGTAATGACAGCGGCAGCAGGACCAGCTGCCCCTTGCCCAGGAGCAGATGAGGGAGCTCACACTCTGCTCTCTGCCCTGACACAACACTGCACCTCTTGCACAACCACCAGAGCTGATCTGCAGACCCTCAGTGAGGATGTGTGCACAATTCAGGGCTCACACACAGTAATTCCCTCCTTGCTCTCCGGAAGGGCAGACGGGAATAAAAGCGGCTCTGGCAGGGGCAGCTTTTTCCTGGTACCTTTCCCAGGGAAGGGAGAAGGATGCACCTATGTTATACAAGCTCAATACATCTGTGGCTACAGGAAGTTACTCTGGTGCCTGTGTGAGAGGACAGTAGCTTATTCTGGGTGTAATGAATTGTCCTGGGGTGCTGCCAAGAGCTTGCAGGCTGTGGCTGCAACGCACAGATGCAAGATGCAAACCAAAGCTGCATGGACTGCTTTCATCCAGCCCTTGGCATTGCCATCCTAACCTTCTTCCGATGGATACTGGCTGTAATTCTGTTCCAATATGAGCCAAGAGCCCTTGAATCTTTTCTAACTCTTCTTAAACTGGAATTCTCATTTTCTGACCAACTTGAACAAGCGGGAAACTTTAGCTATTAAGTTTAACCATTAAGCATGGAGAGAAATTGCTTCCCTCCAGCTACCACATCTACAATTGCTTTACAAGACCTGCAAAATTAGTATTTAATATTAAAAAACCCAGAAGCACTTAAAGAAAATGTTATCAGGAGAAGACATGACTGCTGAAACAAACAATTGTATGTGTGCACCAGGCAGATCCAGTACACATCATCCCCCAGCTCCTCAGTTCCCACAATTAACAGAGAGCAGAGGTGACACACTATTTGCTATATCAAAGTCCACACAAACCATTTCACACACCAGCTGCTTCTTTGTCCTTCCCCACCCAGGTCAGCTGAGAGAATCCCAGCTGTGGCCTCAAAGCTTAGGACAAGACAGATAATGCATTTTTCCCCCAGTTCACCTTCTCCTTACACTCCCTGCTGTCTGCAGGCACATCTCCAAAGTCTCTATTACCTCACTGTATGTAAAAGGCTCTGAAAACACAGCTCCCTTCTTTCTGGAATACCCTTTAAGGGTCTGTGGCTTTATGACTAGGTCTCAGCCTAACTTTGTTATAAATTGCCCTCATCAACCTCCCAAGTAACACAAACCACACCATTCCAAGTATATCTTCTTTTAATGGGCCCAGAGAATGCACAGCAGACCTTTCCAGTCATGAATTCCTTTACTGCATATCTCCCCTGTACATAACCCTGCTCCCTGCCCAGCTAATCCCAGCATCCATTAGGCACATGCTGTTTATCCTCTCCTCGAGGCCTCCACAATTACAACCTACTACACTGATATGTCAAAGCAACAAGCAAACTACTGCAGCAGCATCATTAATCACTGCTTAAGTAGATACTTCACTTTGTAATTTTAACTGGGGTTGGAGTTGGAAGCTTCACACTTTAAAAAAGTTTAAATAGCAGAATTAGCAACACTGAGTCGGCAATTTCAGGAAACAATAGGGAACGTGAGGTAATATATTAAACCCTCAGACAGCAAAATACTGGCATTGTCTGACATTTAAGTTCTCAGAGCCCAAGGAAGACCCTGTAAATGGAGGCCAAGGCAGAATTTAGATTAGTAAAGTCAAACTGTATTTACTAGAACTTGAGTATGGGCTGATCCACAGACATTTTCAGTTACCTGATTTATCTTTATGTCTAAACATTTCAGCTGCATGCCTAAAATATTTATGGAGCTATACTCCCTACTTTGTTTTATGTGTATATATTGAGAAAGAGTGTCAAGCCAGTTTATTTGATTAGTTTGCTGTGACTGCTGAAGAGGTAATATCTCAATTGTGCAGTTAACAAGTTATAAAACCTGACTTTTGGAAATTATGTGAATAAAGTAGACGCTGAATTCAGATTTACTAAACTGTGATAAAACCAGCTTTACACAAAACGAGCTTAGACTCAAATGCCTAACAATGCTTTCAGATTAAGAACTCCACACAACATTTAAAAACCTTTCTGCTTTGTCTAAACAACAGCTAAGTCCTAACTGAAGCACTTTGCTAATGAAAAACCTCCTCCCAGTTTGCACAAAATCCAGTTTATCACCATCCTAAGAGATAATGTCCAAAACCAGACAAACTCGAAAGTCAGCATTCAATTGGAACAAGCTTCTACTTGTAAATCCTGATGAGGCTGTTTTTATGAGGAAGATGCCCAAGGAAATAATCCACAAATCTGATAAAACTCTTCATACACAGCTGAGTGGAGCTGCTCCCATCTTGTTCTGCTCCTGAGCACTTCATGATCATTTCCAGCTAATGCCCAACATACGAACGGGACAGTGTTTAGTGACAAAGCCATCACCTGACTGCACTCAGGGCACTGTCAACCGAGGCAGACATTGACATCAGTTTCACTACAGAAAGAAGTTCCACCTCATTAGTTGCTAAGAGCTCTTGGCTCTCTCAGGGGGCTCAGGAACTGAACTGTTAGGTTTCAAGAGGTGAAGGAAGTAGCCACCTCTGGGTTAAGTTCAAAATCTCTTCTGCACAGGGCTGGAAGTCTTTGGTAATTTTAAGTCTTCTGGAATCAAAAGGGGGGATTTCTCCCCCCTCTCCCCCCAGATTTGGTCTCCTCTGTTTCCTGTTGCAATTACTATACACTGTTCTTTAATAAGGAGACTGCAGGACCCAGCTGTGAAAGGACTACAGTCGATGAACAAAGGTATGAGAGTCTGTAATAAAAAAAGGAACATGCTCCTGCAGATGTGTTAATTTAGGGCTTGCAAAGTTTCACCCAGAGAAATCCAAACTGTATACTCACTTTGGGTGCCTGATGTCTGGAAGGGAACGATTCAGAGAAATTTTATCACTCACAAAGATATTAAAGCCATTTTCCCGGTATGCCTGGTCCACTCGCTCTGCATCAGTCATCGGGTAAGGTTTTCCCTGTTCTCCATTTCCTATAGATAGACAGAAAGTAAACACACATCATTACTACTAATTAGTGCTTAACAGGCCAGAAACTAATCCATACAGCAAAAAAAGAGCATCTTACAGTCCTTTAAAAATTCCTTCCTTAGTTTTGTGCTCTGTGTCATATTTTAGCACCGGGTCAACATGTCAATCTATCGATTTTATCTACAAACCACTCAGCTGTGCAAATCACAGAAATTAAGCATTCCTTCTAACACCAGAAACCGACAAAGGAGTTATGGCAATGCTGTGATGGATCTATAGAACACCTTTTGTTTCACAGCAGGAAGAATCCATACGGTTTGAATACCTCAGCACTGTTGGAATTTTCAGCACAGATGGATATGCGTATTTACAACCTGAGCTCTTGCACCGAGGGGCAGAGCCCTTTGCAGACACACCAGCGTAAACCTGTGGTGTTCAAAATGGGCCCTTATTTTGTGAAATAAAACCTGCGTGAATGTTATAGTCCAGAACATTTGTCTTATCCCTCTTCTTCTTTTCTGGATCTCCCATTTCTGGGAGAAGAACTATTTGTTTTTTTGTAAAGAAGAAAAAAAAATCAACACTGCACCTGTCATAAAACACCATGATGTTTACTGATACATTTTCACCTCAAAGTGGTTATTGTGGAGTTGGGGGAAAAGGAATTTAATTGGGATTAACAGAGTTGAAGATTAACAGATTACTGGCTTTAACTGCTGCATCATGTCAAGAACATCATCTTGACCCTGAAGTTGAACATGTTGCTCTACACTCAGCCTACCAAACAAAATCAAATTACAATCAGTATTTAAACATTTTTATAGCAATCTTACATACCTACACGCTCAGAGTCCCTCCTTATAGCTTCGTTGTTATGCCAGTCCTTTTTCCTTTGTCCATCAGCAAAATAAGCATCTTTCTTTTGCCTCACATACGATGCCTTTTAAATAAAAGATTGGATACATTAAATACACAACACATGCAAGCCTTCCTTAACAGCCTCCCTTTCCTGTAAAGAAGAGATTAAACATCTTCCTTAAGGTAAGTTCATCACAAGCAAGTGGCTTGTAGCCTGAAAGGGGGAGGAAGCGAGTTTTGCTTGTCTCAGAACAGTACTTTATCTAAAGCTGTTAAGTGATATTTTTCAGGGCACCATCATGTATGCAGAACAGTATTTCTTAATCAGGGAATCTATTAAAAACTCCCATTTTCATTTCGAAAACATCCAATACATCTTACAGCTTTTCTGTTAATTAAATAGGATGTAATGGGAGACCTATTGCAGGATCATTATTAATGAGCACACTACCACACTTGAATAAAATCAAAATAAGACTTAAAAGGTCATTTATTAAGACTCTTGCTGCTGAACTTATAAGCAAATCCTACACAAGGCATGAGCCTGAACTGAACCCAATTAGATCTCCTATTTCATGATGTTGTTCCTAAAATTCAACAGCAACGAGTGCTTTGGAAACAAGTCGGCAAATGACGATCATCACCAGTAATCCAACACCTCCAGCTCACCTCTGACTGCACAGGCTGAAGACTTACACTTACTGAAGGAAAGAGGTTTCATGAGAGGCACTGCAAAAGCCTCCCTGATTCCCATGAGGCAGCAGAAGGCACGTACAGCCCCAGAGCAGCAGAGCAGTGTGAAGAACCACACATTTCTGTTAAGGAAGGGCTCACCTGAACTCGCCAAACATAAATATAAAACTAAATTGCTTAACCTGCCTTGTGGTTTTCCAGCTGTCCCATTAAACATCACCGTTCTTCTGTGATTCCTACCTGCTGATAATGCAGAAGGAACTTTTAAGTGTCAAGATGAATGTGTGATCCAGGAACCAAACGGGCGAGAGAGCACTGGGAGGGCAAACTGGGGACAACAATACTTCTGAGGAAACACAGATCGTGCCACTAGTCCTTGGGTCACTCTGGGGCTGCTGTCAGCAATGCCATCACAGAACACCTTGAAATACATACCCCACCCAAAACCCTAATGGCTGCCCCACCTCAGGAGGTTCCTGCTGCTTTCGTGTAAGTGGGTGTGAGCAGAGATGGTCTGAGATGCTCCCTCAGGGTGTGATGAGCCAGGGCACAGTGTGGGTGAGGAGCAGGCAAACCCATCAGCATCTACCCATGGCTCCACCTGACCTAACGACCTCAGGGATAATTTGCACAGACTCTACCCGGACCCTTGCTAGCTGGTGCCAGCTATTGTGAGTAGGTCTGGATGACAGCTGTGTGACAAAGAAGCAGTGGCAGCCTGGTTATTTTTGCCCTAAAATCTTCAGCACCATGAATCAGCCACACTGTGCTACTGCAATAGTCCAGCATCACTACTCATCTGGCCACCACAGTGGTTTCTAATTGTTTGGACATGTCACCCCTTCTTATCATCCCCACTAAATAACCGACAGAGCACATTGCTGTTCTGGTAAGTATCTGCCTCTGTTTTACAAGAACCATCCTTTGCCAGGCCTGCTCTCTGGCCAGCCTCCTCTCCAGGATACTCCCCTGCCAGGAAAAGCCCTGGAAAGCTTTCACAGACCAGAGCACCTCCTTGCCAGGAGAGTTTTGCCAACTTTCTGAGCACTAGGATTGCACACAAGTGTCATACTGGGCACAGGAACAACTGGCAAGTCTGAAACCTCAATATTTTAAGTCTTTTTTTGTCTCTTGTTTATAGCACTCTGGACTGAATGTGCACACCAGCAGAATCACTTACAATGCCACTGTCCCTTCTGCCATTCGCTGAGATTGAACACATGAAAATCCCTTACCAGTAGTTACTCCAGAAACCCACCCACCACCGCAGAGGAGACCATTGCCAGAGTGTCCAGGGACTAGATCCAAAAGGAGGAACACAGAGTGTGACCCTGAGCCTCACAACACAAGTCTGAAATACACCCCAAAGGACTTACACCAGTATCTAAGGGAAGCCACACCGCTGGGCAATCAGCTGTTTCAGGAGGGGCCTCTTTTACCATTACACAGCTGTACCACCAAAGCAGACAATGCTCATCTGGCCAAGCAGCAGCCTAAAAGCCATTAAAAAGCAGTTCCAGCCATCCCTGCTCAGTGTGAGCACCCCCAGGCTCTGGGCTGCAGTGATCCTTGTGTTTGTGCTCTCAGTGTAGGATAACGTGAACAGGGAAGTAAATTTTCTGCACAGCTTCAAGGCATTTTTCAGAGAGGTCAGCAATGTGCATGTAAACATCCTCAGAGCAAGCAACAACCTAATGCAAGCAATTTAAACCCTGCAATACTGAGTGAAAGCAGGCAGTAGCACGCTGTCCTCCAGGGCTGTTAGAATAAAGGGGGGGGGGGGGGGGAAGTCACAGAGACTGCCACTGTATTACACACAGTACACATCAGGCAGGAAGACAGGAGAAAGTCGAGTAGTATCTCAGAGATAAATTTACACATGAAAACTTCTTCGAGCTGGGTTAAGCTAACCATGTCAAGGCCACGCGTGTCAGCGACTTGTAAACCTTAAATTAAGCAAGAAAGAAACTATGAAGTACACATATCAGTTATTCAGACCTTTCTAAACTGCAGTGTTGGACTTTAGAAGTACACAGAATAAGAGTTATCGATCCTTAGCTCCCGGGGAACGGGCTCTGTACAGCTCTCAGTCTTGGAGACTTACAAGAAGTAATCCCTCCACATGCTGGTGTCGGCAAAGTAAAATGAGGACTGTGCAGGGTGAGTCACTATCTGTTCCTCTGCCTGCAGAGCTCATGCTGTTACTGCCCTGCACAACTAACACCTAAAGAGATTCACACAGGACAAACACACCAGGAACCTCTGTGGGATCGACACACATCTCCAAGTAGTTTTTAGAATCCTGAAGAGCAGACATAGCTGCAGATGGTAACGGCAGATGTGCTGCATTCTGGAGCTTTTTTCCTGGTCTTGGGCAGAGGAGCTACATTAGCCAATCCAGCTCAAAAATCCCCCATTAAATTTAATTCAACTTGGGTAAATGTTAAGAGGTTAGAATGTTTCTAGCAGTATCCTTTGCAAGCAAACATAGGATGCTGACATTGGTTTTTCAGATCGCTATTAAAACACCGTAGCTGAAAAGTCTGCTGAGTCACTGACAAGTTCTGTCAACAGTGTCTAAATATTAATTTTGAAGTGACTTTCAGTGCTAGAAAATGAATATCAATGTCTTTGCTTCAGCGACCTTGCCAGCCCTCACGATCCACACAGCCCCCAAAGGGAAGGTGTAGCTGCAGCAGCCTGATTAGCATTGTATTTCTTCAGAACCACACTTTGAAGACCAACCTAATTTCAACAGACTACCAAAAAAAGTCAGTGTGAACGATAAAACACTGCCTCCCCTCCCCAAGTGCAGATTTTATGCTCATGTCATCACTACTGGCAGAACAGTGTGAAGGGTTGTGGGCACGATGCCATCCCGGGCAGCGGGAAGATGTGCACATATGTCCTCAAAGTCCCTCTCGTTGGGACAATGGGCAGGTTGCTGACGTTGATGCAGTTTTGAAAGTTCTTTTTTTCCCTTTCTTTCATTTTGTTTTTTGTTTGGTTGTTTTTTTTTTCCCCTTCATTTTTTTATAAAAGATATCTGAGCTCTGGAAATACAGACACAGCATACAGGGACCAGAATGTTGCCTTTTTTAGTGGTTTCCTTCAGGGATGCTGCATGGAATTTGACTCAATTATGCAAATTACATAACTTGATGATACTCCTTCAACAGACGCTCTAGACTGTGATATCCAAGCAATCTGCAAAACACAGCAAGTTTCCTAGGACTGACTTTTGCTTTAACTACTAAACAAGCATCTCATTTATGGGGAGCTATACCATACATATAACGCTGTATTTCACCTCAGTTTTGACTCTCATCCTAATTTTCCATTAATTCTAACTGCATGACAAGAGGCACAACATTTTTGTTCAAACTCACGAGCATATCCCCCCTTATCTGAATTTTAACAGTGGAATGCAGCAATCATTGTTTGACCATTGCAGCTGTCCATGCTGCATGGTTAGGGTAAATGGACATTATGGATCTAGACTTCTGTCTCTATGAAAAAGGTCAGCAATTTTCTGGTTTGCTCTATGTTAGCTTCCCATTTTGCAAAAATATCACTGTTTTTTAAAATGGTCAATTGTAAGCAACATGCAAAAAGCACATTTCAAATCATGCAGGCTTCATTATGATCATCTAGTCAGACTATGTAAGTGCACAAGCCATTGAATTCCATCCATTAAGTCCTACAACGAGCCCATAAGTTCTATTTCAGCTCAAGCACATTTTCCTTAAGAACTGGATGTTGTTTACCACTAAGGAGTGATTACTTCTGCAGCAATATCTTAAACTGTTCTCCTGCCTGTTTCAAGCCTTCATTTTTTAAAAACTGAAAATGAACTAAAGTAGAAAGGCATATTAAGCAATACATTGAAAATGGATTTAGACAGATTGCTGTAAATAAGCCCCTTCTGTTGTCTACCACACTGTTACTTAACGCGCCGCCAAAGCAATTGATCAGCATTCAAATGCCAAATGCACAAAAATGGAATTTTAATTTTTTGTTTAATCACTATTTAGTGTGCCTGGCTGCAGCCAAAAAAAAAAAGAAGTGTGGATGGAGATGTAAGCCAAGAGTTTTCTACACACGAAGAAAAGAGACTTGAAGCACATATGCAAATCATGGTGCTGTGCAGATCTCAAACTCCGTTCAAACACTTGTTTTGCTTATTTATTATTTTCTTTTGAAACGAGGAGCTGTGATCAGACCCAAGAAACTATGATCTTTGGAGACAGTGTTAAAGAGAGCATCTGTTCCATCCCAGCCTCTTCATTTATCCCAGCACCTCAACAAGTCTCTCGTGCACTTATAAGCCTACAACAAGATGTTAAAGATAACAAAACAATTAAAGAAAAACAGCAGGGAAAGG